GTGTGTCTGCAGACAAGTTGCTTTTGATCTCTGGTACTAAGCGGGCTTTTCTATACACAGGGATGAGTTTTTGGGTTCTCCACACATGAAGATGCCAGTGGTTCCCATCTCTGGAGCAGCATAAGGGTTAGAATACAATGCTTATGAAGCTTTCTGCAGGTGTCTGGCAAATGGTAACATCTTGATAAATATTGGTCACTGTTACTGTTTGAAAAGTCCCCACTGGCCGAAACTCAACTGGAAAACCGAACAGTTTGGCGCATAGAGTCCTTTCCATGGGCTCGCTGTGCTCTTCTACTGCCTCCCAAGATTTGGGGGAAGTTTGCCTCCTTGCCGATTAGCACTAATTGCAATTTAATTATGCAATATATATAACAGTGGAGGAAGACAGTGGACTGTGGCCACTCCAGTCAGAGAGGCCTGTGAGCCTCAGTGTTGTGTAAACTGCAGGACTCCATGGTCTGAAGGAATACAGGATCAGTTTGCCCACTGAAAAGTTGCCCTTGGCAGTAAGTAGTAAGCACATCACCTCTTAGAACAGCTTGCTTCTGTTTGTCTTTCAAACCATAATTGTTTCTAGGAAGAGCTACATCCTGAACACCAAGGTGTCTGGAGATGAACTCTGGAACACCAGGCCACACCTGTCAGACAGGGCAGTTACAGACTGCCTTGTGTGCATGTTACTGAGAGCCAAGGAAATACAGAGAAGGGGTGAAGCCAGCCACTTACTGCACACACAAGGTTAGTACTCACCCTTCACACATACCACTCTTCTGTGGTCCATTATCATTGCACTCCCAGGAGTAGGTGGCCAAGAGTGCCTCTGGGAAGGGTTTGTTTTGCTTAATAGACCCTGGATGAGGAGCAATGAAGGCTCTAAGGGTTTGGAGAGACACTGTCTTTTCTTTTGTTGTCAAACCTGCTCACTTGGGGACACTTCTTTGTCCTGGGAGTTCAGCTCTGTAGTTACTACCCACCTCCAAAAGGATGGCCCTCCTTTCCTGCCCTCGGGGTCCTCAGGGCTACAGTCTGTGTACCATGTTCCCTTTCACAGCCTACTTTTTGCACAAACTGATTAATTGAGTATCTGCTGTGCAGTGTCTATAACAAAGCAATCTTAGAAAGTCTACTGCTCTTGAAATCATTGAATATAGAGATACGCCATGGTATTGTGTCTATTTGTAAGTGCATCTCATAGTTACATCTACTTGAAAATGGGAATCTATTCTTTCTTTTAAATAAGCATGCATATTAAAGTAGAGAAACCTGAAAACTACACCTAATCCTGTGACATATGTCCTTATTAGAACGTATTATGTCAGAGTACTAACCAATGCTTTACAGATATCAATATGTGGGATTTTTTTTCTTTGCCATGTATTGTTTATCAGAAACCTCTGCACTTTTTCCTTTAAAGGAGTCAATATTCATTTGTATTCTGTGCTGACAGCGAAAAATTGATGGCTACCAGTTATCAAATAACTGTTGATGAAAAGCGGCTACTTAACATTTTCATCCCAACAAAGGGTTTTAGAAGGATGGATAATTTAGATCTCAGGGCCTCAAACACAAACAGCAACTGCTTCCTAAATCCCACCTTTCTGTAGTTGAAGATGGAGCTTCAGATATGACAAATGATTTCTGAAAGAGAATGATGCACCCCTATCACCAAGATGCTCTTAGCTTAATCCCAAACAAGAATCCTGGGTAATTTTACATACGCTGCAAAGATTGATGGCCCAGTTCTTCTCTGGAAGCTCACAAATGTTGGGCTAGATAGGAAAGGGCATTCAGGCATGATTAAAGATTCTACTGGACTTCCCAGCTATTCTCAGTCGTGAGTTGTCCACACCCTGACTCACCGCCTTGACTGCGGATTGGAGGTGCTACTTCTCTGCCATTCCACAATTAGCATGCAACTTACCAATCAGTTGTTCTCAAAAAATCATTTAGGAGAGCCCTTGCCTCTGGTGAGTGTTTACATGTCAAGGTGTTATTATTTTGTCACAGTAGATCAGTAAGCAATAGTGGCAACTGGCAAGTCACGGCTTCCGATATTGTACATTGGCATTGTTAACATTATTTCCTTTGCATGGCTCTGTCATCTTTTCTGAATTATGTACTGATGCCCCAAAAAGTGGCATGAAAGTCATTTGATGGTGATTAAAGTGCGCTTTAAATTTTTTTAACGTGTTTAAAAATGTTTCATCTTGTATCAGCAGTACTGGCTTGTTTACTAATGAGATTTTGCAAAAATGGCTTGGTCTCATTCTGATGATACGCAGACCAAAAAGCTGATGAGCCCAAAATGAGAACTCGTTATTAAACTGTTGTCATATCTGATCCTATAAAGATGTCACTCAGAGGTTGCCTCTGGGACAGCTGGAAAGAGAATTCCCCACAAAGACAAAGGGGAGGTGGGCATGGGACCCATAAGACATTGTCACTGCTACTTAATTGCTTAGCATGGGAAGAAAACCAAATGTGCACAATTGGTCTTAGGAGTGGAGAAGGTGGTTCTTGCTTTTAGGAGCCTCCCCTCTGTGTTGTGGCTCTATAAAAGCCAGAACTATGCTGAGGGCATTTGGATTGTACATCAAGCCCGGTGGCAAAAGAATCAAAGTTAGTTATTGATTGAAAACAGAAAAAAATGGGCTTCTCTGAAATGCACGGTTTTCAGCATGGTAGCCAAATGTGGGTTCACAGGAAATGCAGCCAATTGCTTGCAGACTCTACAGAGAGTGAATGCACAACCCCTACCCCCCATCCACGCGATTCTGAATCAATGTGACCACAGAATTTCTTTGTAAAAATACTGTTTGAACAATGCTACAGTGAAATTTGATATCATTTTAGAAGGTCAAATTAGCCAAATACTACATTGGGCTTGGAAGAATTTGACTTTTTTGCTTTCCCAAGACTGTCTTTCTTTCTTTCTTTCTTTCTTTCTTTCTTTCTTTCTTTCTTTCTTTCTTTCTTTCCTTCTTTCTTTGTTTTGCCTTCCCTTGGACTTTTCTCAGGATGGGCAAATCCTGAGAAATACAGGTCCGCCTTGATGCATGAAGGCTGTGTTATAACCACACCAGGGTTGTGGGGGTGACACTTGGACATGAGCTGACTGGATGCTCTCACCATTTGGGAGTGCAGAGGAGGTCACTGAACCACTCTCTGTAGACTTGGTAGCTTCAAAGTAAAATGGAAACCCAAGACACCTATTCTAAAATTTGTACAAAGCAGTGTCTCCACTTGCATTCTAAGAACTGTGAAGCCAAGGATATTTTGACTTGAATTACCTGGATAAGCTTCCTAGGTCTCCCATTCATCTGTAGAGGCACTTTTGCTTCCCCTTTTTCTAGCATGGGAGTCCGAGGAGTTGGATAAACCTAGGGAAAGTCTGTAGATCAATGTGCCAGGTGCTAAGCTGAGAGTTATTAGGAATAATAATTCAGTGAAAGGAAATTCGGACAACATGAACTCATTGCCGTTAGACTTGGAACTCACAAATCAACTGGGAAAGAAACAGCTGCATCTAAGACATTCACTGGCTATCTGAGAAGTGGGCAGGGTAAGGAATGGGCAGGTAACAAATCAGTGATTATTTAATGAAGCTCAAAGCAAGTCAATTGTTCAACTTCTGGACTAGTGGGTCTTGTCCAATGGCGTCCAACCAGTATTATCCAAACTTGAGTCTCTGTCTCTCTCACAGTCCCCACCCTTTCCATGATCAGGTCATTTGGATGCATATGATTGTTTCATTTTCCTCTGTATCACAGAATTTGAAGCCAAAACAAAACACAAAACCCCAAGTCTGCTTTGTAGAACTTCCCTAAAATTGTCATGCCTCGGGGTCTTGGTTCTCAGAAAGGCCCTGGTTCCCAGTGATTCTGGAATACACCTTTGGGTGCGGACAGAAAACTGTGACCCCCCATAACCAGACAACCTTAACATTTCCCTAAGGGCAATCTCCTCTGTAGTTGCCTTTTTAGTGCTCAGTTGCAACCCCACCCCCACCAGCTGATAATTAGTTGTTACAGCAAGGGCTGAGATGCACATAAATAATCATAAGATGCCAGATAAACTGTATTGGTTTTAAATTAGAGCCGTGTGTACAGTGTCTCCCTATGAACAGCAGCCTATTATTTTTAATTATGGCTTGCAAAGCAAAGTGATTTCTTGCCTTCTTCACAGTGTCCCTGGCAGTCCTTTGTCAGTCAGACGACATGGTGCCCATCAGCACACACACAGCCTTAGCCTCGGCCCCCGCTGTCGCATCAGAGTTGAGCCGAAAGCGATCGATTGCATTCACTGCAACTTGCATTTTGACGTGGGTGGGGAGAAAGTACACTCAACCACTGTCCTGCTGTAAATCCAGGACACATAAGACAGTTGACAAAGGTTTTCCGAATGCATTGGTGTGTGTGTTCATGTGTGTGTGTGTGTGTGTGTGTGTGTGTGTGTGTTTCTGTGTGTGTATGAAGAGCATGTTTCTCTGTGTGCAAGTCTTAAACATTTGAACAGCATTGCAAACACCTCCCCTAGCAGCACCGTGGGCAAAGAATAAAAGATAGATCTGACACCAACCCCACCTGGGTTTTCTACCTGATGGGCCATAATTAAAAGAGGTTGGTTTAATTCATATAGAAGTACTAGCAAGGTCTTATGTCAAATTACATTACACGCTGGAAAGCCAAGGGGTTGGATACCTCTGTTCTCACGTGTTGGGAAGAAGTCGGTCTTCCCCCTCCCCCATGACGTATGCATCTATGTCTTTTTATTTTCAAATCCTTTTCCTGTTAGAGGTGTAGAAAGTCACACCAATATAACAAGTAGAGTTTATAAACTTGTTTTGCCAGGACAGTCCCATTGCACCTCTTACGGCCACTGCTTCGCATTCAGTACCCCGTGGCGTTGGCAGCCAGCCGCAACTGGGCAGGGTGTGGGAAGCTCGCCAGTGCCTACCATCATCTCTTAAAGTTTTTTCTTTCTTCTTTGATTTCCAGCAACAAGGAGCAGCCACCACTGTCTACTGTGCAGCAGCCCCGGAGATGGAGGGCCTGGGAGGAATGTACTTCAACAACTGCTGCCGCTGCCTGCCCTCAGCGCAGGCTCAGAGCGAGGAGACGGCGCAGGCCCTGTGGGAGCTCAGTGAGCGGCTGGTGCAGGAACGGCTGGGCAGCGCGTCCGGCTAGCGGGGACCCGTCCTGCCTGGCACCCCGTTCCACATCCCTACAAGGCAGATACGCAAGAGCAAAGGAAATGAGAGTGCTCGACATAGAAGAAGTGGTGATGGGACACAATTGCAGGGGACAGGGACAGTGTCACTTCTCTGTGGCTAGCGTCAGCATGGGTCCCTCAGCTTTCGGGTGGTGGGCTGTTTGAAAGCAAAAGCTTGGTCTGTAGGTGGGTTCTTTCTCTCATTGTAGAAGCACAAGCAACTTTCTCTCACTTTTAGAGTAGCCTGAAGTCCTGTTGTCCCATGGCCACCACTGCAGCCAGAGGTGGCTTTTTCCCGTCTAGGGAAGAAAAATCAAGCGTTCATCCTTCCAGTCTGGATTTGTCCAGGAGATTATTGTTTCGCTCATCCCAACCAAGTCTGAGTAGGCTTGGCAACTTCCAGTTGAGAATCCCAAAGATTTGTTCCAGCTGATGACGCTAATGAGAGTTCCGCAGGATAGCACAAAGGTCCAGCAGTGTCTGTCACTAACCCCTTTGCCAAAGCTACACAAATAATGCTTTAGAGATGATAACAAATAAACTTTGCAAACCATTCCCTAGATAGCTAGATGGGCAAGAAAGGGAGCAGCATGTCCTCGGGAACACGTGAGATGTCCTTGCAGTGGGGGATAAAACTTAGGTCCCTTCATTTGCCGCACAGGGTCCCAAGAGCAGCCTAGGGGCTGAGTTTTGTAGCCTTTCAGTCCCTCTGCTTCCACATCCGGCTTCAACTTCCTCCCCTTCCTCCCGTCCTAGGCTTAATAAAAGATCATGCTTGACTACGATCGCCTGAAGTTTGGATCGTTTCTTTAAATGTTCGTTTTAGGTTTTTTTGTTTTTGTTTTGTTTTGTTCTGTTTTTTTTTAGAAAAGAAAGTAGAGGAAAAATAAAACGCATCTTGTAGACGCCAGGAAAACACCGCTCTTATTTCTTCTCTGAGTTTGGGTTTTGTTTTTGTGCTTTGTGGCTGTCTGTGGCCAGGTTGTCTCACACAATTAGCATGCCAGCGCCGTATTTTCTGTCAGAGAAAGAAAAAGAAAGAAAATGACAATGGTTTAATGCAATGCCTTAGGATGTTTTGTCATTACTCACAGAGCGTCATTTCAGTCCTCAGTGGCTTGTTCCCCTGTGATTATGAAGAATTTAGTGATTAGAGAGCATCCCTGTGCATCAAAACGGGGACAGTTGGGGACTCTTCTCCACTCATCCCTTTCTTGTTATACCATGGATTCCCCTGAGTTAAAAAGCTCCCTAAATTATATCGAACAAGTTTTCATGCATTCACTGATTCATTCAACAAACTTTCCAAGTGCAACATTCTGGAAATTCAAAGTCTAGATTAAACAAGCAAGGACACTAGAAAGTCCCCTCCGGCATAAGGGAGAGAATGCATTTGCTCAAAGAAATACTGCACCATGAAGAGGAGAGTGGGGATGTGAGTCGTTGCCTCTCCTGAAAATGGCGGCTCGAGGATCAGCAACACCATGAATTCCTGGACTTCCATTCCTGTGGGGTAGCTGACAGATACCACTGATCTCTGCAGCTTTCTATCTGGTACATTCTCCTGGAGAATGTCATTATTATTCCAGCACTATTAAAGTGTGACTCAGAGAATGCCACTTTCCTGTGCAAACCCTCTGATGTTTCTAAGATGGATTGTTTGCACAAATGCTTATCCTAATTCTCCTGTCACTATCCACATATTTGGCCGCCACCTTCCATGTGTAACTTACTTTGGCTGCTGCACTGAGGCATGTCTTTTTCTGCTACCCTTGGAATCCTGCAGATACCTCCATGTTCCTGAGCCTGCGCCCACCTGATGGCACAGGATCATTACCAGATCTGCCATCGAGCTCACTGTCAGCTATGTGAATGAGGCCACCCCATACTATCCACCCCAGCTGAGCCAACCCAGAGGAAAAGAAACTCCCAGTCAACTCACAGAAATAAAAAAAAGTAATACAAGTTTGTTATTTTACTGCACTAAATTTTTAGGATTACTTGTTACACAGCAAAAGCTAACTGGTACAGCTTCTCATTCTGCTGAGTAAAGGCCAGTTTTTCTCCACAGCCCATGAGTTATCTCATAATCTTGTCCTCTTTATTATCCCATTCCCCAGAGTGTTCTTCTCATCTACTGAAAATCATTGCAGCCTTCTTGTGTTTCCCCAGCATGACACACATACTCCCAATGCAAGGTCATCATAAGCACTGTCCCCTCTGCTGAAGTTTTTCTTCCAGTAATGTCCATGACTTTCTCCCTCACTGTTCCTATGTGATCGTTTCCAGATGAGGTGGCATTTCTAGCCATTGCATTCATCATGCAATACCAGTCATCCTCTATTTACCTTTTACTTTTCTCCTCCAAAACACTTAATACTATCAGATGCATTATGAGTCTCTGTATTGGTTTTCTCTCTCCCTATAATATAAACACTGTAAAAATTTATTTATTTTCTCTACAGTAGTAATCACCTGCCTTCAACTCTACCTTTCACGTGGTTGGTTTAATAGATGATGATGGAGGGAAAGAATAATATTGTGCTCATGAAAATAATCCCCACCACTGTGAGAGTGAGGAGAGCCACAGACTATTCTAAGGAGGCTGCAACACTTACCTACTTTCTAGTGGGACCATGGTCCTACTAGGTGCCCCCTCTTCCTGTGTTCTAGATGAAAACACCATTTTTACCACTGACCACGCCACTCAGAAGTGAGACGAGCCATGAATCACACCCAGGTCTATGTGATTTCAAGGTCATGTGGCTTCCCCTTACCCAAGCTACTGCCCCTTCTGTAAGTTGAATGTTCCTGTTCTGACAGGGTGCATAATCTGACTATCTCAGGGTGAGCAGAGAGACAGCTTCAAGGGTCTGAGTCCAGCTCAGCTTCAGGCAGAGGTTAAACTAGGACAAGACAATCAGCCAAGGTGATGCCCAAAATATCAACGGGACCAAAGAAAGACCTATGTCCTGTGTGGACCCTGGATCAGACTGATGAGGTAAGGCCTGGGAAAACTTGGGGAAGGAAGATGAACATTCCCCTAAATCAAGGATCCCTAAGTTATTATACAAACCAGACCTTATACATTTTCACTCATTTGGTCAATAAATAAACATCCTGGAAATTCAAACTTTAGAGATCCCCCAGCCTGGGAAAAGTCTCCTTTATAGAGGAATTTAGATCTCAGGCCCACCAGAGTCATTCCAATGTGGGTAATCCTATTCCATTTTCTCAGAAGTTCTGTAGGTATGTAACAATGAACCAAGGCCCTGAAACAATGACCAGGCTTCCTCTTGCTCACGAACTCAGTCTAACATCCCTGTGGGCCACTTTTCCCTGCCAGAAACATCACTGTCATTTCTTTGGCTAATTGTGTAGGGAACAGTGGGACAAGTGAGAAGCTCGGAAGGGTGATCATAATCACTACTCACTATTCACTATTTGTCACAATATGTAGTATATTCCTATGACCTATACATGCACATGTATGAAGTGCACACTTTACAAACAACCATGCTGCTCTATCATCACCACTACTAGTTGCAGGTGCTGTTTTTGAGCATCTGCTCAGCACCAGTTGAAGGTCTCAGCAACTCACACCCATCTTTCCATGTGCTCAGAGGAGGAAACTAAGCTTGAGAGAGACAACTCCAGCTCTCCACAGCCTCACAGCCGGCATGTAGAGGTGTCAGGATTTGAAGCCAACTCTGTCTGCCTCAAGCCCTTGTGCCTTCCAGTACATACCATCCTTTTTGAGCAGCCTATATAGCAGCAATATAGGCTTATTAAATTCTAGGAGTTAATTATTCACTAAGGAAAACAAGTTGGTTTTCTACCCAGGGATATGGCAAGCTCCCCTGATGATCAGTACCTGAAGTTAAATTAATAATTAAAAAATTTTTGTTGTTGTTTTGCAGTGCTAGGGATTGAATTGAGGGCCTTCAAACTCAGCTACACATGCGACCTTTTTATTTATTTTTTAAAATTTTGAGATAGGGGCTCATTAAGCTGCTAAATTGCCCAGATTGGGCTCGAACTTGCAATCCTCCTGCTTCAGCCTCCCAGAGTGCTGGGATTACAGACATGCATCATCATGTCTGGCTGGTAAATCTCTTTTGCATGTGACATTTGCCTGGCAAGGTTGGTCTTATCTCACCTGCATTCTCCAGTGACCCTCTTTCTTGTTCTGACTGTGAACACATCTGAGCCTAGCCTCATTCCTTGGGCTTAGCTTCAGAAGAACTCAGCATCCTGAGCTCTCCCAGCACTACAGACTCTACCCAAAGTGGGAAGAATGTGCCTTCTCTGTGGTCTCTTTTCTTCTCTCTGTCCTCATTTCTTTAAGCCCAAAATGCACCCAGCTTACACTTTCACACCTGAATAAGACAGACCTTGCTGCAATTTACCAATAGGAAGCAAAAAATGGAAGCCTTCCCCGGCAATGGCTAAAGCCTGTGGCTTGTGGTTTTGCTCTTTCAAATGAGGTGATGGGTGGTTTTGTTTTGAACTTCAATGGAAGAGGGCTGATTACTTTCATCAAGGTCAATGCTAGGCCAGAAAGCCTTGGCTTGCAAAATCGCTGCCCATTCTGGTCACCAACAGATACCGTTTTTAGAAGTTTACGTCAAGAAATCTAAAATAGCATCACCTACCCTGTGTATTAGCTTTGTGACTTTCAACATATCCAAACTAGTTTGAAATCCCTTGGACCTCTTGCAGATGTGGGAGAAGTCCATACCTTAATGAAGGTATATACTGAGTGATAGCATGAAATGGAATCCACATAACCTCAGAAGAAACTGCTCTGAACTGTATCTATTGATGAAATGATATAGAAGCAATAAAGTTAATTTTTAGAAAGAAAAAGAATAATACCATTATATATTTCAATGCATACCATTTCACTTTTTCTTAGTGCCTTTCAAGTCTTCACGGCATTTAGAGTCATGCTCCCTCTTTTTTTTTTCCTTTGTCCCCTAAATCATCTTCTCTTTCAGAACTTTCAATTGTTTTGCTAGATGCAAGATGCCTAATGTGTGATGTTCATGGTGGGCCACCACTTGGAAGCCCATGCCCTACTTCGCAGCATTAGGTTAGTTCTAGTTTCTGCTGTTAGAACTAATGGTTGAGCGAGCAGTTCTACGCACATCAACTTTAACTTCATTAAGGTATGGACTTCTCCCACATCTGCAAGAGGTCCAAGTTCTAGCGCTGTGACGTTTGGTGGGAGATCCACGCCCACCCCAACCTGTGCACATCTGTTGGGTTACAACCTGATGAACATCTAGTTTTGCTGTGCGCATCTTTTAGACTTGTTTTAATATCACTTTTTCATAACCTCTATCTGTTTACATAGACTATTCTGAAGCAATCAGCTTCTTTATTTAAAGGGAAAGCATTTTGTCTTTCATTTCTTCCCAGGACTGAGATCACAATTTTAATTATAATGGAAATTCAAAGTAACTAGAGAGAGAGAGAGAGAGAGAGAGAGAGAGTTTTGGTAGGAAAATATCAGTGCATCTCAGGAAGCTCTTCATTAGCGTATTATTCAACCAGTGAATGTCTTGCATCTTTTCCTTTCTAGACACCAGCTGTAGTGCTACACAGACCCCAGCAGTGTGTCAAAGACCACAACTCGCACCCCAGATATCTTGGGTCCACGTTGGTGCATGTATTGAACTTACTAGCTGGTATTCATCCATAGGCCACTTTTTGGTAGCTTCTATGAAAATATGGCACTCTGATCAGAAAGATGGTCTTGCTTTTGATTGATGTGTTTATA